ATATAATTGATACTATATTTTAGTATATAATAAAATACATATGTATCATGCATCATATTTTGTCACAATAAGAAGAGCATGAATGTTATTTTGAAACAAATTTTGGCACGCCCATTTCCGCGCACCTGTTGTTGAGGCCGATGTTTAAAAAAACTAACAAACTAGCATCAACATGCCTCACAATTATATGTTTCTTATCTGCATATTCAGTGTAGAATAAAGTGGTGGTCCTAATATCAACAAATATTCAAATAAAAGATACTGAGAAACTTGCATGTGGAGTGTTGATTGACTACTGTTTCCGGGTCAAGGGAGCATACAAGGTCAAACTGGTTTCGTGATATGCCAATTATATAGTCAATAACACATTTTCCTATGAGCTATGTTTAATCATTCTAAATAGTGATTTGTGTTAAGTTTGGGTTTGCCAGAGGAAATATCTTCAAATTTACTGTTAGTATTCAATAACGAAAGATTTTTACCAGACAACCCCTGTCTGTGACATCACATCCAGTGACCTCTGCACTTACCAGAAAACAAGTTAGATTTCGCGATCTTAATTTTCATTTCTCTCTGGTCATATTAAACTGAAAATGATAAATGAAACACTTGTAGAATGAGAAATGCTTCAACTTTCGCCAGGGCTTATACATGTAAGTCCTGTAAGCTTTGTTCTTATCAAAATAGCAATATTTTATGTAGGGGTTGGACGAAGCGCGCCATGTTTGGCAGTTTGCACGGTGCAACACTGGTTTTCTGTGGGCTTGTGTCGAAAACAATGAACCATAACACTTGAAATTAGGACTCGTGAATATTGATAAATCATGCATTTTATTCTGCAATTTTTGTGACATGACACGTTGGAATAAATGTAAAAGTGCCATTTAAATAAAATATGTGATGACATCGAAAATACGATTTGTTTCACGACGAACGTTTTCGATTATTTTTTTTAATTTGTCGTCGCGCTGATAATTGCCGATACAAATATATAAATTTGAAGTCAGATAATTATGAGTTATCAGAAATACGAATATTGAAATCGGTTTGCACTAATTTAACGATTTATTCAGGTTCCTTATATGAAATGCATTCCACTCCAGGTAATTTCAGGAATATTTATATTATTTATGTTTGCCTTGTTATTAACCTCTGTATGTTTGAAATTATTAGGATATTTTTAGATAATAATGTTAATTTTTCTATCTAGTATTAATGTGCCAAATATTTTTTCAGCTGTCCCTTAATTAATGACACACCGACTGTTTGAAATCACCCACCCTCTCTTTACAACACGTTATGCTGAAATTAATTCAGCAGGCTAAGGTTAATATTCTTCTCCATAAATTTGGTCACAGAAATGGTACTTAAGTCTGCTATTTGTAGACTTGTCTGATATTGTGCAATCAGGATGCTCAGCAACACTGCTAACATCTATATAGCAGTCCATTACCAACTGTGCTTAGTACTTATAGTTTACAGATATAAGACAAATGGTCTCATGGCCAAAATGAATATCGAAGGACAAGGGGATAAGTTTGTATTCAAAGCTATGCTCACCTCCTGTAGGTAAGACAAATTAAGGTATACTTATTGACAGCTGTTCCCTAAGCTAACATAGCTCTTAGCACATCAAATTGAAGCTGCACAACAAGGGTTAAATTGATAGCACTTGTTACCAAATGATAATATTTTGTCAGTCATGATACTTCAAATTCAAATTAAAATCCTTTTTAATTTTGACCAATTCAAATTTGGGTTTCCAGGGAGTACCGATAGGTACTGAAAAGTAACCCCATGCTTGACGTAAAGTCGGCTAAAATTGGAAAGTTTTGCTTTCACTATTCTTTCTATTAATTTCTCCTTTTGTCGTATCGTAGTCACTCCCTTCATGTGCTTCTTGTACACTGTAACATGTTCTGTTAGACACAACAAGCTTCGGAGGTTCCTGGCACACGATATGTGAAATGTGTGTACACATGCCGTAAGGGATACGGTCCGGCAGTGTCGTGAACGTCACTGTCGTATATAGTAATGAAGCTATTGAAGCGTTTGTAATATGCTCAATAAAGGCATAGGATATATTACATCCTCTTTACTCTCAATTATACATCCTGAACCCTGACTGAATAAACACTGAAAACTTGAACGCTTATTACAAAGTATATTAGGACACTTTGCCAGGGTGCGTGTAGACACCGAGGTGATAGATCAAGTAAATCTGTACATGCAGTTGATCCTGACACAGACTACACATCTCAAGAGGATGATGATGACCTTTCACACCTCATTAACCACATTGACATGGAAGGTGATGAAAATAACTGGTATGAGTATGTCAACATTAATGGACATGTCTCAGTGTTCAGATAGGCACTGGTGCAACTCCATGAATTCTTCCCAATCAGATATTTCAGAGAATGAAGAGTAAACTTCCCCTTGCACCTCCACACAAGATCTTGTCAGGCTCAGGCTCTTGATGTGACAGGCTGTGTTACTCTGCCTACCAAGTACAAGAACAGCTCTGTGAATATTCAGTTCACTGCTGTAGAGACAGATAAAGACCTATGACTGTCAGGAAAGGCAAGCAAACGTCTTGGCTTAATTGAGCGCATCCATGCTGTATCAGGAATTGATCAGTATCCTGAACTGAAAGAGACAACAGGTATATTGCCAGGCGCATACAGTCTCAAAATTGACCCCAAGGTTCAACCAGTTGTACATGGACCAAGGCGTCAACCCAAGGCTTTGAGTGAACAAATTGCCGCAAATCGGAAGGAAATGGAAGAAGCTGGTGATATTACCAAGGTCACTGTACCAACTGACTGGGTGACTTCTGATGGTGGTACTGAAGAACAATCAAGTCAGAATCTGTCCCCGGGAACAGTTTTCACCACTAAGGAAGCCAGTAGCCCAGAGCATGCGGCCCCTGGAGATACCCTCCCACCAGGGAACAAGCCCTTTGCCGTAGCCTTCCTTCTATGTCAGCTTCCCGCGAGGAACAGTTTCGCCAGGATATAGTATACCTTGGATTGTGATTTATCATATTTGACCTGAAGGAACATGACATTTGTTTTCACTTTATGTTCATATACTTCTGTTGTTGTTTTTATTTGAAAAGTAATTCCATCACTTTTTGGTTTTGGGGGGAGGAATGTAACAGGGGCTAATTTTAATGGGTGTTATTATAGGTGTTTAACAGAAATGACCGATGTGTGTGAAGACAAGTTATGTACAAGAATCAAGTGGGAAAAGAAATGATTCTCAGGAAGTCCAAGCAGTGGCAGAAATTTCAAAGAAGAAAGTTGATTCTTATGGATGCATGAAATTTTCACCAAGTGTGAACAGTGATACGGCAGAAAGTTTGGCAGAAATTAGAGAAGATATGTGCAGAAAGCACAACAATCAGATCCAAAGGATCATAATTGGGAGGCAATAGAAACTCATACACTTCGCAATACATACAGCTTACGGAGATACAGCATCAACAAAGGGGAAACCGTCAGGGATCTGTTGTCTGAATGGTGATTTTCATTCACAGAGAGGGGTCTGTTTCTCCATTTCAAGCTAGGATATCAGAAACACAATCTGCAACACTTTTTCTAAGAAACGTTTTTAAAACAGAAGAATCTGGTATTTGTAAAGAAACTGATGAACTCATCAAAGAGTTTCTTTCGTGGTTTATCTGGACATTATAAATGTAAGCTTGCATTTTCATTACAAAAATAAATCTATTTAAGTTGCAGTTGTATTATTTGAATAACATTATAAAAATAAACTATATATTTATCAACAGTGGGATTAGATCTTTTAAATGGTGTATGAGACGTAGTAGCAATAACGTTTTACAAGCTTACCATTTCCTTCATAAACATTGGCTTCATCTGTGACCTTAGAGTCTCTGGGAACTCGGTGTCATGGCAGTAAATGCCTCTGGTTGACTGGTGTTGAAAGAGTTAAAGATAAGCTAAAAGATCTTAAACTTTTGTTTGCAAATGGCGAAAAGGAGTACACAAACAAAGGTTATCGCAGGAAACCATCCTACCAACGAATAGTGAATTTCGTCGCCAGTGCTGTGGCCACACTGAACAAGGACACAATAGTCAAAAGTTTTGAATGCTGAGGAATTGCGTCCCGTGGTCGGACAGTGGCCCTTGACCGGCTGAACACTCGATTACGTGATGTCTTGTCTGGCCTTGAAGTACCGGTAGAAGACGAAGCAGACCAAGAGGTCGAAAATGAAATTGCGGAGGTAGATTTTGACATGGCAACCAATGAAGAAATCCAAGCCATCTTCGACAGTGATGATGAGCTGGACGTCTTTGAAGGTTTTGAAGACACTGACATTTAATTTAAGGAACTGACATTTGAGAACCTATAGTGACAGATCAGACAAATCAGGGCTCCAGCAAACGGCAACTTCTGTGATAAACAATCACAATGTGTAACTGTCTAAATAAATCTTAGAATAAATAAATAAATCTTTATTCAAGGAAATGTTGTTATTATTAAAAGGTACATAATGTATGTCATATGTTCTGTCTGTCCCGCCTTGAAGCATATGTAAACAACTGCATGACCTATAACCCTCTACATTACAATATCGGTACCGTAATATTGTAAGGTTAAATTTGATTGGCTGACAAATTTGACAGCAGCTTTCTGATTGGATGATTATAAGTCACATGCTTACAAAATGGCTGATGATCAAGTTTCGGTTTACAAAGAGGCAAGATGACTGCCTTGATTTCATGAATTATTAGGTATGTTTTAACTGTCACAAGATAAGCCCAGGGTATATTGGCAACACATTTTTCAGATAGATAAATAACGTTATGACTACTGCATGTTGAATTGCGAAGATTTCATTTTGGCAACATTTTGCGTGCATCTACACGGTATCTAATCAGGATGAAACTCGACAGTGAGTTGATTTTAGTTCTCGACTTTTGAATTATTTTATTTCTGAATTATCTCCCAGGCGGTTGTATGGTCCATTTTTAATAGTATCCTGGATTGAGCTTTGACATCTGGATGTATGGTGGGTGCGGCATAGACATCTGGATGCTCACTGGATGGGGCTTTGACATCTCGAGGTATGGTGGGTGCGGCATAGACATCTGGATGCTCACTGGATGGGGCTTTGACAGCTGGATGTATGGTGGGTGCGGCATAGACATCAGGATGCTCACTGGATCGGGGCTTTGACATCTGATGATGTATGGTGGGTATGGTGGGTGCATAGACATCTGGATGCTCACTGGATCGGGCTTTGACAGCAGGATGTATGGTGGGTGCATAGACATCTGGATGCTCACTGGATCGGGCTTTGACAGCTGGATGTATGGTGGGTGCGGCATAGACATCAGGATGCTCACTGGATCGGGCTTTGACATCTGGATGTATGGTGGGTGCGGCATAGACATCTGGATGCTCACTGGATCGGGCTTTGACATCTGGATGTATGGTGGGTGCGGCATAGACATCTGGATGCTCACTGGATCGGGCTTTGACAGCAGGATGTATGGTGGGTGCGGCATAGACATCTGGATGCTCACTGGATGGGGCTTTGACATCTGGATGTATGGTGGGTGCGGCATAGACATCTGGATGCTCACTGGATGGGGCTTTGACAGCTGGATGTATGGTGGGTGCGGCATAGACATCTGGATGCTCACTGGATGGGGCTTTGACATCTGGATGTATGGTGGGTGCGGCATAGACATCTGGATGCTCACTGGATGGGGCTTTGACATCTGGATGTATGGTGGGTGCGGCATAGACATCTGGATGCTCACTGGATGGGGCTTTGACAGCTGGATGTATGGTGGGTGCGCATAGACATCTGGATGCTCACTGGATGGGGCTTTGACATCTGGATGTATGTGTAGACATGGTGGTGCGCATAGACATCTGGATGCTCACTGGATGGGGCTTTGACAGCTGGATGTATGGTGGGTGCGGCATAGACATCTGGATGCTCACTGGATGGGGCTTTGACATCTGGATGTATGGTGGGTGCGGCATAGACATCTGGATGGCTTCACTGGATGGGATTTGATGTTCAGATGGGATGTATGGTGGGTGCGGCATAGACATCTGGATGCTCACTGGATGGGGCTTTGACATCTGGATGTATGGTGGGTGCGCATAGACATCTGGATGCTCACTGGATGGGGATTTGACAGCTGGATGTATGGTGGGTGCGGCATAGACATCTGGATGCTCACTGGATCGGGCTTTGACAGCTGGATGTATGGTGGGTGCGGCATAGACATCTGGATGCTCACTGGATGGGGATTTGACAGCAGGATGTATGGTGGGGATTTGCAGCTGGATGTATGGTGGGTGTGGCATAGACATCTGGATGCTCACTGGATCGGGCTTTGACAGCTGGATGTATGGTGGGTGCGACATAGACATCTGGATGCTCACTGGATCGGGCTTTGACAGCTGGATGTATGGTGGGTGCGGCATAGACATCTGGATGCTCACTGGATCGGGCTTTGACAGCTGGATGTATGGTGGGTGCTGCATAGACATCTGGATGCTCACTGGATGGGGATTTGACAGCAGGATGTATGGTGTATTTGTGTACATATATTTAGGCTGGATGTTCTTCATGTACTTATAGCTGTCCTGGATGTTATGTGTGTACCTACATGTACACCGCGTGTAGTAGATATATACTGTTGATACCACTGAAGTACCTGGATGTATACCAGATGTTAAACTTAAGTGGACTGGTATTAAGAATGGTATTCCCTGAGGCATAGTGTAAAGTATGGAATGGAGTTTGGATTGGAATGATGGAATGGAATTTGGAATGGGAATAAATGGAATATACTCATCTTGTACTAAACAAACCAAGTGTTGTGCCGACCTTCAAACATAAATTAAATTGACAGTTTGTAAACAGTTCAGGAGTCACTTTCCCTCCCGCTCCCAATGTCTTACATCCCTCCCCACTCCGGATGGGAGATAAGGCTAGTGGCAGGCAGAGGTGTAGTCTGTTGTTAGTCTAGCAGAGGTGTTGCAATAGCCTGTCTCACAGTCCCTTAAAGGCCTAGGTTCAAACCTATACACAGATGGGGTGTGGCCTCCTGCCTTGCCAAAGCTGCCTTTCAATGCAAAGCAGTATTCAAGTACATTCCATGAAATATCACAAAATTTACTTACCATTATTTGATGAAATTAAGCCATAGTGTAAACATGTATGTTAAGAAGACACTGCAAAAAGTGTGGATGCAGACAGTGTACAAAAACTGCATTTTAAAAATATATAATCTCTTTTTGAAATTCAGATTTGAATTTGCCACTGTGTCAGTCAGGAGGCCAGAGGAGGTGTGTTTCCACATAAACAGACCTCTTAGTGGAAGTTAAAGCTTCATTCAGGGTTTCATATTTCACTTTCTTCCCAGGCAGTCAGTGAAACTGATGCCCTCCTCCACTCCCCTGACCCCCAGCTGTGGGGATTGTACACTGATTTGACTCTTGACACTGAGTGGAACACTTGATCCGGGTGCTGTCATATTATCTCCAGCACCATGGTGTGACTGCCCCAGAAGATCCACCAGTTACATACCTGACAGCCAGACCAGGTGACTCTGATGACAAATTTTTCCATCATATCTGAATCATCCATGAAAATGTGTCTGGATGTAGCAGAGAAGCATGGACGAAAATGTTCCAATAAATTGACTGTTACACAAGTCAGTTATGGTAGCCATGTAATGAAGATGAAGGTTCGCTGCCGCAAGTCACACCAGTATCGTCTGGCGTCATCACCCTACCTACCAGACAACAAATTTCTTGTGAATGAGAAGGTTGGACATGCTTTTACAGCCGTGGTATGTTACCAGTCCAGTACCAAAGGTTCTGTTCAGCTGCAGGGATTGGTAATCTGTCACGGAAATATAGAGAACAACAACGTACCACCTATAAGGCTTGTGTTCATGCAGAATATACTGACTCATGTGAAACTTCATTGTTAGAAGAAGTTGCTGGTTATGAAGATTTGGACGGCATCAACATCATGACAGACGCTCGTCATGGTTGGAGGAAAAATGCCAAGGATAGTAGTGTGGTGGCCATTGGTGACTACCCACATAAGGTGTTAACATGCCAACATATTACCAAACAGAATGATCCTGTTTCACAGAGGCACGAAAGGATTGGAACAGTGGAGATATAAAAGTACCTCCACGAGAGAAATGTCCATGTTAATGTACACACCCACGACAGAAACCTGTCTGTAAATAAACTCATTCGAGACAGTGGAACAATCAACAAAAATGACATATGGCATGGCGTACAATCAGTAGCCAAATCCCTTTCTGTTGTATCCACGGGACCAAAGTACAAGCATGGCAGTACCTGGCATGAACAGCTGTCAGACAATGTGCGACCTGTTGCTACACACTTCCATCACGCCATTCGGAGTTGTAACGGTGACAGTGAGAATTTGAGATCCTCACTCATAAATGTTATCGAACATTATAAGAACAATCATTCTGATTACAGCCCATCCTCAAGGTGCAAGGAAGATCCAAACTATGAACCATCACGTATAGTGCTCACAAGCGAGAAAGCTGTGTCATTGTTAAAAGGTGTTATCACAAATTCCATCATTTTCAAGTATGCAGACGACTTCAGTTTGGCTAAAGATACTTTCTATGTTGAAAGTTTCAATAATGTTATGAATATTTTTCAAGACAAACGAATCTCATTTTCTGGCAGTATTTACAATATGAAATCTCAATTAGCTGTTTGCCACTGGAATGAAAATGTGAATAGAAGCTATACTTCTGAGTGGCATTCAAGGAATCCTGGTGCACAGAGATGTTGCAGGAAGAGGAATTACAAACCTGTCTCCTACAATTACAGGCGAAATGAATGGAACAGATATCTCGGGAGATTATTTTGACCTAAAGCTATATCTTGCCATCAGATAATTCATTATTCCTTGCTGGCCCTCTAATTTGCTGACTTGTTTATCTTTACTGTCACAATTAATTATCTCTACTGTGTTACTTCATAGATAAAGTCTTGAGAAAGCTGTGAAACATAGTATAACCTCGAGAAACAGCGATCATGGAAGTTGAACAAGAAAGACTCTCTATCACATTGATGGTTATTCCTAGATCCTCTCCAGAGAGAAACTAGAGAAATTTTTGGAGGTTTGCGCCCCGGCCTTTAACCATTTTATTTTCCATTGTGTCAACCCATAAGCCTAATATAGGAATCACAAACAACATATAAACCATTATTAGTTTTGCTTTAATAACCAGTCAACATGTCATCGTCGTAATCTAAGCACATACAAAAGGTCACACACCCACCTTACCTCACTTCCCTATCAATTCCAGGTATCAGCAGTTGTGTAGTGCTATGACACAATATGAAGCAAGTCTGTAGAACTAATTTTTGTGATATATCCTTTAGATACAATAAGTGACATCAGTTGATTTCAAACCAGGAATATTAACATATTGACATGGTTCACTGTTTGTTACGAGCGAGGAGTGCAGAGAAAGGGACAGCCAGGTGTTCGAGAAGCACGTTCACAGACAAAGTTATTTATTCATTAACCTATGCTGTGCTCTGCTGTCTCCTTCCGTTCTCGAACACCTGGCTGTCCCTTTCTCTGCACTTCTCCCTCGTAACAAACAGTGAACTGTGTCAATATTTTAATGATAGATTGTTAAACAACTTTTTTATTTTTAGGATAAAAATTCTGCAAAAACCTCAGAGTGGGTATGATGTTTTGATTATGATCAGCGTTTCATTGAGTATTTTATGTTTATTAGTTTTCGAGTTAGATTGCAATTCATCGGTCCGCTTTAGTGCCAAACGGACTATAATATGTTACTGTGTTTGACCAGATATGTCAGCACATTGTCATCATCAATTAAGACAAAATATAAACAGGCGTCCAGACTTCCATTTTCTAACAAACCATGATCATGAAGGAGAAAAACTGGAAATGTTTTGACCACTTGACATCTTCGAGTGATACAGATTGGAGGTTCACAAGTCCACAAGACCGAGAAAGTGAAAAAAATGTAAGAATATTTTTCTCAAGAAATCCTATGCTGATGCAGTAAAAGGTAACTTTTGCACTATGTTCTTTAATGGTATCTTCTTAATTGTTATGAGTGCGGCATTAAGAACAAACAAACCAAATCTTAATTGTTCTAAATTGTTCATTACTTTCTTCCTACATGAAAAAAATCAAAGACAATGATATTTGGGCACGTAAGATTTCGGATTTGAATATTCAACATTGAATCCAAGTATTTATTGCTTCATTCTGATCTGTTTATTGGGTTAGTGGAATCTTAATATTTGAATGTTATCCCGTGACTTATTCTCTTGTGTTATTTAAACTATATGTATTCACAGGACGAACTCAAGGGAAGAAGGAATTTACAACTGACCCTGACCCAAATAACACCAGTCCTGGGCATATTGAACTCAACCCTCAATGGACAGGATTTAGGTATTCAACCAAGACATTATTAATTACTATACATTCCACGGACTCAGATGCTTCACCTGTTAAGTCCAGCAATGCATTTAGACAGAAAAGAAAAGCTCAGTTCAAGCTGCATCACTCTCTACCTACAGATGACTCTCCCATCATCATCACTCTCTACCTACAGATGACTCTCCCATCATCATCACTGAGTCAAGTCTACCTACAGATGACTCTCCCATCATCATCACTGAGTCAAGTGATGATTGCTGTAGTCCAGCAAAAAGGCTATCAAAAAAGTAGCCATGTCCGAGCCAGGCGGAATACCTCCAGAGAATTGTTTGCTGGAATGAGTTCTGATAGTGATTCATCTCTTCCAGATATTGAAATAGATAAATCAATTGGAGATGTTGTAGTAGAACGTGGAGACTACCAAGTGTCTTCAAAGAGAGATGATGTTGATGATGATGACGCCAATTTACCATCACTTCAATATCCTATAAGATGTCTCAAGACGTCTATTTCACATCTTATAACAGAAAACAAAGATCAAATGTTTCAGACATTCTATAATGGCGATTCCTCTTTACCAGTGTACAAGTTGCTGAAGTATGGAATATCAACTAAAGAAGCTGTTCTTCTATTGCTCAAAAATCTTAACTCTAAAGAGCTAGCCTGCAACATCCCATCTGGTATTGACAAAAATGTCTCATTTGTCTACAGCATTGAGAAATTAGGACATTGGAAAAATGCTGTGTGTGATGGTATGGGGAGGTGGACTCAGAAGGGCACTCATACAGAGACTGTCTTTATAGACTTGAAGGCAGAGACAGTGAAACCTTGTACACCTTTCTCCGACAACGCAGGCTCGGATGACCAGGCTGATCAGATTCTTGCAAGTCATGTGACCAACTTCACAGGATTGTGATTACACTTCAAGATCCAAACACTGACCAGATGCTGGATCATCTGTTTGTCCAGTATTACTTTGAGGGACAGGAGCAACAAGTGGCGGTACAACCACATGGAAACAGTAATAGAAATGAACGATTCACCAGAACATCAG